TTAATTTTGCTTCATAAGCGATAAGCACAAGCTGTACCAAACATTGCAGCATAGATTTTGAAAATATAAAAAAGAGGAAGAAATAGTTGTAGGCAACTCCATAAATTATACCAAACAAAAAATGATAAAATTGCTCCATTACCTATTCAAAATATGAATATGAAAAATTGTGCGTTTCAAAATTTTTTTAAGAACAAGTCGTAAGAACATCTGTAGTATTGCTGATGAAAAAATAAAAAGTCCCACTAATTTTTAGACTACTTTTTGAAAAAACAACCAATTATCAGAATCTACAAAAATAAATTCTAAAATTTTATATTTGAATTGAATACATAACATTACTAATGTGAAAAAAGTTGTTCGCATAGCGGGGTAAGGCACATTAGCAGCTACATGCCACGACATTTATGTCAATTATAAGACTTTCTACACTTAAACAAAATATAGAAACTGCCAGTATAAGAGATCAAGTTATGAATCCATTATCCATGCAGTGCGGATCAACAAAGAGGTTCCAAAAATGGCCCTCTCTTTCTCTCTCTCAATGCGTTTCTTGTGACTTCTTCACCTATCCAATGTTCATGAACTATAAAAAGAAAAGGCCTATCTGATATTAATTTCACTTAGAAAAAGGTATTAAAGTGATAGCACATTTCTTGTGACTTCCTCTATCAAATCCTAAATTAGTTTAAAAACTTTGCAAGTGATTGGGATGCCATGATTCTTCGTTTTTGTTTTTGTTTTTCATCATCATTTTTGCACTCATTTGATAATCGCAATTTTTTAAGCAAAAATCCTGTCTGTTTTTGTTTGTATGTTTGATGAGAGGGTAATTTGTAAATAAATTGGGCCGAGTTAGGAAGAGTCTTCTTTGGGAGTTGGACCACGTAATGGGCCGAGAAAAGGGTTGGTGTAGCTCGGTCTTAGGCCAAGAAGACATCTCATATTTTGGGTTTGGGCCGAACTATGGACCGAGGTATCGGTAGAAAGAGGACCGAGCTAAACGATAGCCCTACAGGGCGTCATCTCGAAGTCAAGACTGGTAGTAGTGCTTAAAGTATCACAGAGCCGAAGTAACTTGGCTGACCGTAATGTTAGCCGAGGTAAAGATGTCAGCCGAAATAAGTGGGCCTGGTGGTTAGCCGAGGTATTGATGAGAAAGGATGTCGGGCTTGGTATAGCTCGGCCGGTCTTGGTATAACTCGGTCGGGCGCCATCTACATCATTACTTAAGCGTGTGACCGAGATAACTTAGCTCGGTGTGGTTGCAGCAGCTTATTTAAAGGAGGTAGCAGCAATGGCGAAGGCCGAGCTGTGTAGGGTGGCATCCATTAGATCGGATTTCGATCACACGATCCGAAGGGCAGGGGACCGAGATAAATCAGTTCGAGCAAGAATGTATAACCGAGGTAAAAGGTTCAGCCATCTCACTTGGCTTGCAGTGATGAGACTTCTAGTAGGACTCTGCTAAGGAGAGTTAGAGTCCTACTGGGATTGTGTAAACCATCTCACTTGGTTGGTAGTGAGTAGGAGTATGACTCCTAGGAGGACTCTGCTAAGGAGAGTATAGTCCTACTAGGATTGTGCAAAACCATCTCACTTGGTTGGCAGTGAGTAGGGTGTGTGATTCCTAGGAAGACTCTCATAGGAAGAGTTGGAATCCTACTAGGATTGTACCAAAGTAAAGTCTATAAAAGCTCATGACCAGACCTTTGTACAGGTATCCCAATTCTTATTCTAGAATACACAGAGCTTATTGTCTATTGTCTAGTTGCTGACTTAGGCATCGGAGGGGTTTCCGACACACACTCGCCGGCTAGCTCACGTTTGTGTTTTCAGGTGATAAAGCGACGACGTACGGAGGAGCGCAGACTTGATCAACAGGATTATACGAGAAGGTTTATTTCTTTCCCGTACAACTGGCACCGTCTGTGGGAATTTCATAAAGAGCAAAACCTCTTGATCAAGTTTTCCTCTCTAGTTGAAAGCAATGGTGCACAATTTAGACTTCCCGCAATCTGCTATTGATGGGCAAACACCGGAAGGGGGTGGGAGGCGCGAAGGCTTACCTTATATCCCACCCATGGCGGAATTAGATCCCCAGCAAAGGAATCTGCAGAGAGAAGCAAGAGAAAGACAGAGCTCAAGTCCACACTGCTCTCAAAGCCCTGATAGACAAAGGCGGAAGATGGATCCTCAGGTTCTCGAAGATCGCGTAAGGGAGCAAGACAAAGTAATAAGAAGAATGGCGACTGACATAGAGTCTATGAAGAACCAGATAAAAGGCAAAGGGAAGGAAAAAGGAGTCGGAGACAGAGGAGCAGGATTCGAAGCAGAGAAAGTCGAAAAAGACGAAGACAGAGAGGATTCGAAGCAGAGGAAGACGAAGACAGAGAAGGAAGACGAAGACAGAGAAGGAAGATTCGAAGAAAAAGAAGAGCAGTGAAGAAGAAAGACGAGTTAAAAGATGGACTTCTCAGGATGATGATGGTTTTGAGTCGGAGGAAGAACAATTACATGACAAAGAGAGGGATGCAGCAATAACGAGGAAGCTAGCTGAGCCAAAATTAACACAGAGGGAGGAAGAAGAAGCGGTTGAAGTAAGGATATCGGCTAAAGAGTGGTTGGCTGGATTAAACCAACTCTTGGTACTCTTCAGCCGAAGTAAGGACATCGGCTAAAGAGTGGTTGGCTGCATTAAACCAACACTTGGTACTCTTTAGCCGAAGTAAGGATATCGGCTAAAGAGTGGTTGGCTGGATTAAACCAACTCTTGGTACTCTTCAGCCGAAGTAAGGACATCGGCTAAAGAGTGGTTGGCTGCATTAAACCAACACTTGGTACTCTTTAGCCGAAGTAAGGATATCGGCTAAAGAGTGGTTGGCTGGATTAAACCAACTCTTGGTACTCTTCAGCCGAAGTAAGGACATCGGCTAAAGAGTGGTTGGCTGCATTAAACCAACACTTGGTACTCTTTAGCCGAAGTAAGGATATCGGCTAAAGAGTGGTTGGCTGGATTAAACCAACTCTTGGTACTCTTCAGCCGAAGTAAGGACATCGGCTAAAGAGTGGTTGGCTGCATTAAACCAACACTTGGTACTCTTTAGCCGAAGTAAGGATATCGGCTAAAGAGTGGTTGGCTGGATTAAACCAACTCTTGGTACTCTTCAGCCGAAGTAAGGACATCGGCTAAAGAGTGGTTGGCTGCATTAAACCAACACTTGGTACTCTTTAGCCGAAGTAAGGATATCGGCTAAAGAGTGGTTGGCTGGATTAAACCAACTCTTGGTACTCTTCAGCCGAAGTAAGGACATCGGCTAAAGAGTGGTTGGCTGCATTAAACCAACACTTGGTACTCTTTAGCCGAAGTAAGGATATCGGCTAAAGAGTGGTTGGCTGGATTAAACCAACTCTTGGTACTCTTCAGCCGAAGTAAGGACATCGGCTAAAGAGTGGTTGGCTGCATTAAACCAACACTTGGTACTCTTTAGCCGAAGTAAGGATATCGGCTAAAGAGTGGTTGGCTGGATTAAACCAACACTTGGTACTTTTTAGCCGAAGTAAGGATATCGGCTAAAGAGTGGTTGGCTAGATTAAACCAACACTTGGTACTCTTTAGCCGAAGTAAGGATATCGGCTAAAGAGTGATTGGCTGGAAAAATCAACACTTACTTCTCCTAAGCTGAGATAAGGATCTAGGCTGCAGGAAGTTAGTAGGTTTGTCCAACAAAATTTCTGAAACTCTTTGGCCGGGATGATGGTTACCTCGGCCAAAGCAGGTTGGCAGGTTTGACCAACAAATTTTTGGAACTCTTTGGCCGAGATGATGGTTACCTCGGCCAAAACAGGTTGGCAAGGATCGTATAAACCGAGTTAGTCTGTTCGGCAAGACACAGAAAGAACGACTTGACGTATACAAACTCGAAGGATACATACGTTAAAGGCAAAAAATCAGGGCTATTCAAATTTTTGGCATGACGATGGTAACAAGGAGAACAAGGATATTGGGGGCACGCCATGTATCCTGGGAATAACGTCATACCAGATTAGTAGAAGGACATGCTGAGCAACTGACAAGGCTTATTGGGACCGAACAAGCCGTAAAACCGAACAACTTCTTAGCTCGGCTGGAGGAAAAATAATCTCAATCATGCTACGCAAATGGAATTAAGGGGCAATTGAGAGGGTAATTTGTAAACAAATTGGGCCGAGCTAGAAAGAGTCTTCTTTGGGAGTTGGACCGCGTAATGGGCTGAGATAAGGGCTGGTGTAGCTCGGTTTTAGGCTAAGAAGACATCTCATATTTTGGGGTTGGGCCGAACTATGGACTGAGGTATCGGTAGAAAGAGGACCGAGCTAAACGATAGCTCTGCAGGGCGTCATCTCAAAGTCAAGATTGGTGGTAGTGCTTAAAGTATCACAGAGCCGAAGTAACTTGGCTGACCGCAATGTTAGCCGAGGTAAAGATGTCATCCGAAATAAGTGGGCCTGGTGGTTAGCCGAGGTATTGATGAGAAAGGATGTCGGGCTTGGTATAGCTCGGCCGGTCTCGGTATAACTCGGCCGGGCGTCATCTACATCATTACTTAAGCGTGTGACCGAGGTAACTTAGCTCGGTGTGGTTGCAGCAGCTTATTTAAAGGAGGTAGCAACAATGGCGAAGGCTGAGCTGTGTAGGGTGGCATCCGTTAGATCGGCTTTCTATCACACGATCCGAAGGGTAGGGGACCGAGATAAATCAGTTCGGGCAGGAATGTATAACCGAGGTAAAAGGTTCAGCCATCTCACTTGGCTTGCAGTGATGAGACTTCTAGTAGGACTCTGCTAAGAAGAGTTAGAGTCCTACTGGGATTGTGTAAACCATCTCACTTGGTTGATAGTGAGTAGGAGTATGACTCCTAGGAGGATTCTGCTAAGGAGAGTATAGTCCTACTAGGATTGTGCAAAACCATCTCACTTGGTTGGCAGTGAGTAGGGTGTGTGATTCCTAGGAGGACTCTCATAGGGAGAGTTGGAATCCTACTAGGATTGTGCCAAAGTAAAGCCTATAAAAGCTCATGACCAGACCTTCGTACAGGTTTCCCAATTCTTACTCTAGAATACACAGAGCTTGTTGTCTATTGTCTAGTTGCTGACTTAGGCATCGGAGGGGTTTCCGGCACACACCCGCGAGGAGGGGGGAAGAGAAGCAGATGGTGTTGAGGCCATGCTTATTCCCGTAATGGGTGCTTTGATAGACATCTCTACTTGCGATTGTGAACAAACCCAACTCTCTCTCTCTCTGAACAACGATTTGGAACCCAAAGATTATAGCAGAAATCCAAACCCTAGGCTAGAGAGAAAGAGGGTGTGTGTTCCAGAAAATTAAAAAAACGATTTGTAGAATTGATGATTAATGGTTGGATTTTCACTTGGATTTTCAAAGCGTTCCTGTTCTCGACTCTTTTTTGCTTCGTTCTTGTGTGTGGTCACCGGCAAATAAGGATGATTTTATTTTTTTGGGGGGTCAACTTTTTCCCTTTTTTTTCTTTTTTTTTTTTCGGGTCAATTGCAAATGAATTCCGTGAGATTCGTTTAAAATATATATTATTTTTTGTTATTTATACAAATTATAAATATTTTTTTATCATAATTTTTTATTTAACATAATTAATTAAAAAAATAAAATTCATAATTACTTTCTTATATAATAATAAAATTACATTGATTATTAATTGAAATAAATTTTTAATATCATAAAAAACTGTTAATTAACTTGATAATGTATTATTAAAAAAAACTTATTTGTTATGAAATTATAAATTTCAGGGAGCGAGATGTAATTTTCAAAACAGCGCTGCTAAGTAGCTTGAAAGGGAACTGGTCAGACTAGCTCGAATTCCAAAATGGCGTCGTTTTAGATTTTTATTTTCTTTCTCTTTTCTCTCTGAAACAGATAAAGGAAAGAAGAAAGAGAGAAGAGAGAGAGAGCGAGAGAAAGAGAGAGCCACCTACCAGCGTCGCCAAATCTATGTGTATACACATATCTATATACATATATGAGAGAGAGAGAGAGAGAGAGCCACCCACCAGTGTCGCCATCACCGATCAGCGTCGCCATCAAGTCTCCTCTATGTGTATACAGATCTGTTCCCCTTCTCTTCTCTTCCTCCTCATTCTCTCCATCTTTTCTCCTTCTCTCTCTCGCCTCTCCTCTCTTTCTTCTGTCTGTTTCAAAGAGGGAAGGGAAGGAAGAAAAAAATAAAATAAAATACTCAAAACGACATCATTTTGGATATTCAAGCCATTTCAGGGCAAGTTTTTTCAAGCTACGTAGTATTATTCTTTTTAAAACTACAGGAAATAATTCGTATTTTAAACAAGCCTCTTTGTAATTTATCCTTTTTATATATTTTTTCTTTATTTTATACGTATGTACATATATATATATATATATATATATAGGGTATTTTGGGAAGATGGTTAAAAGTTAATTTTTGGCTTTTAATTAAGCTTTTGACTTTTTTAGAAAAGTAATTTGGGAAGTTGGTAAAAAGCTATTTTTGGCTTTTTTTTATTAATATTTGTTTATGATATCACATCACAATAAAATGACTAAACTACCCCCACCCAATGTAGAAAATTTATATTTTCATCTATGTAAATATAAAAAAACATAAAATATATAATTGTAATTTTCTATGTGGCTTTTTTGGACTTGCCAAATGATTTGGAAACTTGCTAAAAAAACTAGCTTTTTGGTTTTTTAGTTTTTTTACACAAAAAGCCACCAAAAAGTAAAAAAAAACAAAAAACAAAAAACCAATGTAGCGTTTGGTAAACTTTTCTAAATATGATTTGAGAATAGAGTTGTATTTGAGTTTGTGAGTTTTGGAATTATGATTTGAGTATGGAAAATTTGTTTGGTGAATAAGTTTTGAAAAGAGTTTTGAATTGAGTGGGGAATTTTTTATGTAACATATGATATTTGATACAAAACTTATAACTCATAACCAAATATACAACTTAAGATTCTATTCAAAACTCATAAAAAAAATTTAAAAATTTTCTTTATTTAAAATATACAAACTAATAGGTGCCAATTGTAAAAAATAAAAAATAAATAAATAAATAGCATTGTTCCGGTCAACCGGCTGGACGTCTAGGAGGACGACCAGTTAGCGCAAATTTTACAGCCTTAAAATAAGTTTTCAAAAGTGAGTGTAAAATTAATTTTTGAAAACTCTAAACAAACAAAACACTCAAAACATAGGGTGTAAATGTGTTTGGAGAGCTTCTCTAAATACAACCTAACTTTTCGACCAACTTCTCAAAACACCACTCATTGCTAAAAAAACAAGCTACGAACGTAGCTTTTTACGAAATTGCCAAAAGAGCACTATATATAATTTAACTAATAATAAAATTAATATTATTATTTTGTAATGCATACATCGTAATATATTTTTAAAAATAATTTACATCCAAACATATATAAATAATTTAACTTAATTTTATAAAACATTTTTTTTAAAAAAAAAGAAGAAAGTCACAAAAAAAAAAATAATAAAATCCTTACAACAAAATAAGTCCTGAATTTTTTATTTTATAAGTTTAAATCCTTGACTTTTGATTTGCTTTTAGTCTAAATCATTTATCTGTTTTTCTTAGGTAAAATCGTCAGAAAATGGATATTTTTGTCATTAAACTCAATGAAAATGGGTATTTTAGATATTTATGTATACCTACATCAAATTTAAAGACTAAAATACTATTATTTCGTTGGCTTTAGTTAACGGAAACAAATAAATAATTTAAATTAACAAAAAATCAAAAAAATTATAATTTAAATTGATAAAGTAAAAAAGACAGTGTTTATTTTCTCAAAATAAAATAAATCCATGTATCGCACAGTCTAACTGTTAGCAAACAAATACGTTTGATCAGTAAGATCGATCGATAGGCTAGTGCATGAGATGCCCACAATGGGATTTTTAGTAAAATCCCCCTTTTTTGGGTTTTTTTTAGGATAAAGGACAATTCAATGAATTCTCCTTCAAAAAGTCCTTAAGTAGGAGACGTGTGGCTCAATAAGGATATTCCATAATTTATATTTTTTTGACCATATTGCCCATATATATATATATATATATATATCATATATTTGAAAATATGGGTTCATGTATACATGGATCTTGTATATTTGAATTAGTTAGGAGGATCTGTGAAATCAGTGAAAATGATCTACAAAATCCATGAAGACGGTGTAACGCCCCCCAAATATAACCATAGATTCAACCGAAATATAAATGAATAACTACATGAATCAGAGTGTAACGTTCTTCCATTTCATAGAGCTAATAGTACAAAAGAGTTTAACATTAATAAATGCTCTATAGGCTTACACCTTTCCAAGCCTTGGCTTGGTTACAACAAAAATGAGACTAGCTCGTACAATTTAAGCTCTAGGATATACAAAAATAAAACAAAACAAAGAAGTTATTGCTTCCCAAAAGTCCCTCCAATGCTATTGCTTTGATGGAGACATGCTATTGTCACCTGAAAATGTTTTTCCCAAATAGGGTGAGTCACAGCCCAGAAGGAATAATCTAACATAATATATGAGATTTAACAAAGATATAAGTGCAAGGTGCATAGACAATGCCAGGGATAAACCATTCACATTTTATACAGTCATAGAATATCAAAACTATATTTCTTTCCATTTTCCTTCAACTTATTTCGATACATGAACCAATTTTATTATTTCTTCGATAATCCAAATGAGACTTATGTGGGTGATTTTCTGACCACACTGCCCGCCTAGTAATCAGCTGGAGAGCACCGGCAGAATAGATGGCTTAAACTAACCTGCAACAGAAAGAAAAAGCTGCGGCGGTGGCTCTTCCACCTGGGGGCACTCCGACGATCAAGTCAATATATCTCTCAAAGATATTCAAGTACTAAACTCACTACTCAAAGCCTAAAACTGCGTACCTTAGACCCACGGGGATGCCTCTCTTTTATAGTTTACTCAATCCTAGTCCCACTAGAAGCCTGACTTCTATGGACTCCCATTCAGTGCTTACTTTGAATTTCTCAACAGATAAAGATAAACTCCCTAAGAGCTTTATCCTTATCTTAGCTAAGTCTCCTTTTTACTCTAGGACTCTTGTCCCTTATCTTTTATCCATTTATCTCGGATTCCGATATCTTCGGAGATAACCTCGGCCTTGCCGAGATAACCTCGGCGTCACAACCTAGACACGTGACACCTTGGCTGACACGTCGGCGTCACCTTGCCACATGTTGGTATTCAGAAAATACATCCCCACAAGACTATAACTCAATGGTTCTACAATCACACCGTTAACACACAAACACTTCAAACTGCCATTTCATAGAAATTTCATTTGCGGGGTCGGCACCCATATATAAATTTTGGGGCTTTCACCTAGGACACTTCGGCCAACTTAATTATAATGGAGTCTATCACATTTCTCCTCCCAAACAGTGGAGCCTATCCCCTTTCTCCTCCCAAACAATCATATATATATAATGTATTTAAACATATAATCATATATGGAGTACATCCATTTTCCCCTTCCAAACAATCATACATATACAATGTATTTAAAACATGATCATATTCAGTGATAACCAACCATAGATTAGTTTTAATTCACCTAATTCTCATGCAATTTCTACAATAATCATAACTATTCTTCACCGACAACCCAATACAGTTATTTCTAAACAGATATACAATCTGAAGATAGATAATTTATTCAAAATTTCCAAAGATGAGGCGTATTATCTACCCTCATCCACTATTTATTTCAAAACTCGTTCAATTTCACGTTCACAACATCAATTTCATTTACTTATACAAAATAAATATTATGATCATTTTAGGGCAAACCCCATCTTTTGTCTATGAATTTAATAATTAAAATTTGTATACTTTACTGTTATTTTGAAAGTAATAATTTAAGAAAAATGTTATTGAACCTAAATAATTTACTAAATTTTTTACTAAACCTCTTATATAGGTGTAAGACTCACACAAACTCATATGTGTAAATCTCATACCCATGTAAGAGATTTAATAAAAAATTTAAAATTCCTAATATAACTCATAATTCAATTCCTACACTGACATGAAATTTTCCCTCACTACAACAAAAAACACAAACGGCGACTAAAAAAAAAAAATTCGTCGCTGAAAGTGCATCAAATGGCGACTAAAATGAAATTAGTCGCCGAAAAGCAAGGTTTTAGCGACTAAAAGAGTATAGTCGCCGAAAAGCAGGGTTTTAGCGACTAAAATGAAGTTTAGTCGCCGAATATATGGTTTTTAGCGACTAAACTTTGTTTCGTAGCCAAAAGTCACAATTTTTGGCGACTAAAATACTTTAGTAGCGAAAAGTTACGGTTTTGGCGACAAAAAACAGGTTTAGTCACTGATTATAGCAGTTTTGGCGACTAAAAGCTGAAAGTGGGGGTTTTGCCGACGAAAATCCATTTTAGTCGCCCAAAGTAGTGGTTTTGG